TCGGTGATGAAGGACGGGTCGAGTAGGGCTCGAGCTGTTATTTGTTGACCAGATGGGGAGCTTACGATGACTTCAGCTGTCATCATAAGAACATTATTCAAGCTGTTCGCTTTGGGTGTCCCTACGTAGCTACTGGTGGGTGGATCACTACTGGTGGGTTCACTACTGGAGGGTGAATTACTTGGTGGAAAGGGGTTTGGGAAAGGGGGCAAATTGATGTTTAGGGCACCTTGCTTTGACAATTCAGGTTCGTTTTCAGGTGGTTTGGAATCATCAACATGCAATAAAGTGTGATGCCTTTTGCCACATTTAAGACATGAATGTGGTGAAGGACATTGCTTTGCCATATGTCTTCCCTTCAGACAATTGAGGCAAAGTCCCTTTTCATACACAAAGGCACGCTTCTCGGAAAGGGATTTCTCTTTGAAGGCTTGACAATAGGCTATGCTGTGATTCTGCCCATTGCAAGCTGAACACTTAACTTGTGTGGTAGTGGTATGGACTGATTCTGATTTGCCAAAATTCCCAAGACTGTACGACTTTGGTTTCTTGTTAAAGGGCTGAAATTTTCTTTGATTTCCATCAAAGGAAGTTAGTTCAGTAGTTGTTGCTCTGAGGTCAAGAAATTCAAGGAATTTGGTATAGGAAGGTACATCCTTTTCTGCTTGTGTAAATTTTTGCCATTCAATCATTGTTTGGGAATCAAGTTTGGACTCGCCCAATGTTGTCATAAACCTATCAAAGTCAAGCTTGTCTTGTGCTTTCAATGATCTTAAATGATGCTGGAAAGTGTCATGTAACTGTCTCAGTTCTGAGCTTGAGCCATCTTTAACTGGTTTGGCATTTAGCAAAGCTCTAGCATGGGCACGATGGATAATTTGGGGGCGATCAAACCGAGCCTGGAGTGCTGCAATAGCTTCAGGGTAAGCTTCTGCAACTGCATCGATTCCTTCTATTGCATCTCTAGCCCTTTTAGTGACAAGAGATTTCAGAAGATACTGCATGCGAAGTTGATTATCTAATTTCTTCGAGTTATGTATTGTTGCTTGAAATTGTTGCCAATAAGACTTCCATTTAGTGGATTCCCCATCAAATGTAGGGATATTGAGTGGAGGAAGCTTCGCAGTTTTTTGTTCATTTACTTCTGAACTTTCTAGCGCTTTGACTTTATTTAACAATAAGTTAAGTTCATGCTGTTGTTGAGTGTTTTTAACTTCGAGCTCCTTATTTCTGTTTTCCTTTTCAATTTCAAGCTCTTTAGTTTGCTGCATTTGTTCACGGCGATGTTGCTTTATGAGTAGAGATAATTTCTCTTGATTTGACTTAATTTTGTCAAAATAACTAGATAAAAGATCATTCCAATTTCCGCCATCTACATCATCTAAATCTGGTATAGACGAGTCAATTTCACTTGTAAAACTATCAAGAGATTTCTCACATTCAGAAATTTGATTTCTGATATCGATAAGATCTTCAATATCGTTTTTATTAGGCTTATCAGTTGCTTCTTCAATATTTGCAATTGTTTTGTTTATGTTAGTCACAATACGATTCCATTTTCGTTCTATAATTGCTTTCTTATCTTTGCTATCAGATGATTTTGTTTCATGTGAAACCTTGGTAGATTGAGTGTTCATAAAAAATACGAGTTTCCTTACAGTTTCTCTGATTCGATCGTCATGAGCATCCAGCTCTTCGTAGTCTTTTGCGATCAGTTCTTCATCCTTAGGATCGATTTGAGCGTTGGCCAATAAATATATTTCCTGAAATTGATTATCCAAATCACGAAGTTCCTTTAAGTATTGTTCAGCACATACAATGTCGAATTGTGAGCTTTCGATCTTTTGCACCAGTGGTACGACTTTCTTTATAAAATTGGTGATCTTTCGCTTTGTAATGCTTCGTTTCTGTTAGACGGCCGGCCAAGTCATCAATTTGTACAACTGGATGGCAACTTTATGTTAGAAGCTGGTAACAGGCATTTTCTTATAGTTCAAGCCTTGGTGAACAAGACTATATGTGTTACCACTTCTGATTTTTGCTTTATAGCCAAAAATTTGAGAATTTTAAAATTTTGCCTATTAAATTACTATGATCGGAAAAAATGTAAAATTTCATATTCTCTCATACGAAAAATAAACTATACCACTAGAAAGAGCGTAAAAAAACTATATATAAGACAATTAAGTGAGTTCTACGTTTTTCCAATCCTATTTCGAGTTTTTAATGTTAAAAAATGCAGAAATGACCAAATAATGCTAATTAGTACCCATTTTGCCAACTTTAACCATCTTTAATTCAAAATCGGCTTGAAAATCGCACTAGTCGCTTAATTATCTTATATACAGTTTTTTGCGCTCTTTCTAGTGGTATAGTCTATTTTTGTGTAAGAGAACATGAAATTTTACATTTTTTGCCATCATAGTAATTTAATAGGCAAAATTTTAAAATTCTCAATTTTTTGGCTGTAAAGCAAAAATCAGAAGTGGTAACACACACAGTCTTATTCACCAAGGCTTGAACTATAAGAAAATGCCTGTTAACAGCTTCTAACATAAAGTTGCCATCAAACTCTCTTTAGAGGCACTTTTTGTCACCTTGGCCGGCTGACTATGTGCTAGCGTTTCACGAGATTCTTGCGACATGTTTACGTTCTGCGATTTGTCTTGTTTCAAAATGAGTCAAACGACGCCATTCTTTCGCTGATTTACATCCGTCTTCGAAGGACCATAATAATAGATGCGGTTGTTTACTTGCTTTTAACTGCCTAGCTAGCAGTCCTTTGTTTTACCCAAGAAAAACAGCGAGTAACCGAGGTAAAACTTATATTTTCTTTTCCTACAAAACATGTGTTCTTAAGAGCGCTTACTGCGCATGCGTTTGCTAAATTATGCTAAATACTTTATGTAATACATATAACGCGTGTCCACAAATTTTAATCAGTTCTTCCTTAGCCGATGGGAAATGCATTCAAAAAATTTCGTATGAATATGTTTGGTATTTCTTGAGTTATCGTGCCCACAGACAAACACACACATACACACACACATACACACACACATACAAACCCAGATGATTACATAACCTCCTGGCGGAGGTAACTATATGTCCGATACAACACGGCCGCTCACATTGCAAATAGTACATATACAATTGTATTCTATGTTTGCAATCACGTGACTTTTCATCCAAACGACGGGCAATCAAACAAATTGTGGACGATTTTTCTCCTATCAGAATGGTCGTAGCAAGAAAAACTGAACGGTAATTCATCCTTTGAGTCTAAACTGTCTCTAAACTCGATCAATACACTAAAATAGCTGTTTTTTGTTATACCTGCCCGTCAACTGAAATCCTTAAATTACGTCATTGCAAATAATTGTATTACCATATAATGATTTGTGGCCATTTTATTACACTATAGCCATGGTTTTTGGACCATTTGAAATTAATAGAAATTAAGATTTAAAAGTATGAATTAAAATGAATGGTTGTTTTAACAGTAAATGTGCGTAACAATACTTGAAGTTGTTAGATTAACATTTAGAAATATGTATTTCAATTTATTGTCTGAGCTACCCCACAAGAACACGTAAAAATATTATGAGAAGAGTAGCCTGTAAAGCAGGCACCTGCTTTGCAGGCTATAAAAGCAGGCTATATATAGTATATAAGGAGAGTATTTTTTATTCATAATTTTTTTATAATATATTTTACCATGTATCACCGAGGAGCTAAAAAGCTCGTAAAAACGTGAAAATGACAATGATAATCGTTATCACGTTCACGTTTTTACGAGCTTTTTAACTCCTCGGTGATACGTGCTAAATATATATATGATACAAATATATCTATATAGACTATATACATACAACATATTATACAATACTAACTATAAATTAATTATACTACAATTTATATGTTGAATAAATATTTGAGCTAGTTCAATATATAGCTAGTCTCAATTACATTGAGAGTTTGTAGTTTGTTCTCCATCCTATTTCTCGAAAGGCTGGCTTACAATATAGCAACTGAAAGTTTCTGTGACAAGTTTCTGGGACCTCGTTATTGGAGAGTTTATCGCTTCCCTGCCATCGCGTATTTACTTGTCATTATGTTATAAATGAATGTTTGTATTGTCTGGCGAATCTTATAAATAAATAAATATATAAATAAATAAATAAATAAATAAATAAATAAATAAATAAATAAATAAAATAGATAAACTTTGACTTGAAGACATTTCAAGGTTAATACTGTCAGCATACTTTGTCACATGCAAATACTTCCATAGCGCAAACCAGCCTTAATGATGCACTGATTTTCGTGGCATTTTTTGGGAAGCAAAATACTGTTGTGTCTTATTTTAATATACCTGAACAAACATATTGCCGTGGAAATTTTTTTTTGCTTTCTGGGAACCCGCAATCGTCCACAAAATATTTGAGACAAACCCCCTCCCCCGATTTCAATGTTGTTATAGGCACTACAATATAGTTTAATTCCAACATCATATGTTAAATTTCAACTGCCAGTGACACAGTTGCGGTTCTAGTGTCACCTTATGTTCGTTTTGGATAAGTACAGTAGGTTTCAACATTGAAATAAGGGGGGAGGGGATTGATTTAAAAAGTCTCAATATATTTTGTGGACGATTGTGGGTTTAGGGCTAAAAAAATTTCTGTAAAATATTACAATAAATAGGGAAAAAAGCAAAAAGTTCTCAGTATGTTTCTTGTTTAAGTTTCCTTCAGATGTGTTACTCCATGCCATGAGGTAGAACAGTAAAAAAGTATGCTAAAAACAAGAGCGTTAATTATGATCTTTAAAGTTTGTCTGTCAAAATACGATTTATCTGTCCTAAACGTGACATACACGAAGAAACATGGCTAGTACATGACGGGGCCAACATATACATATCTATATCCTCACCTCGTTGTAATAATTCCACGACGTCAACACGTCTTGCCGATTCAAGTGCCGTTTTACGGTTCTAAAACAAAATTTTACAACTATGAAAGTCTTGATAGGCTTTATTTTAACTGCGATTTTGTAGTGACAAGAAGGCAGGTCAGAACATGTTAATGGAAACCCTTCAGATCTGATTGGTTAATCGAGTATATCAAACGCATCTGATTGGTTGATGGTATATACTTAATCTGTGCCACAGATTAAGAGGTCCTCTTAATCTGTGTCTGTGCTGTCACAGATGGGGTAAATACAGATATGAATCGATAAATACAGATATGAATTGGGGTAAATACAGATATGAATTGCTGATTGTTTTGTGTCACACGGAATTCTCACTTCCGGCGAGCGCTGGCAAGTGTCGTTCTGAAATTTAATAAGGAAAGTAATAGGAAAACGCCGTTCGAAAGACGAAAAATTGTTTTTTTTTAAAAATCTACGCTACCGACGGCTATTTTTGGAATGAATTTTTCAAGAGTAACGGTAAGCGATCACTTTTATTGATCTTCTTTTATTAAAAGTGTTAACATAATATTTTATTTAGCAAAAGTTTGTTTTTTTCCTATCTACTCCTTATTAAAATCGTGAAATACACTTGCTGGGAATTTCAGATGCTCATGTATAAATAACAAAACAGCGAATGATATAAATTCCTCAAAATATAACTCTCACATAAAAAAAACATGAATACTTCTATAATATGTATAGTTTTATTCCTCTGCATTATCAAAATTTAATAAAATAGTGAATTAATATAATTTTAAACTTTATTTAATCGGCGTGACATAATTTGCCGCGAGATTCGTCTCTGTATATCTCTCCTCTGTGGCACAGAGAAGAGATAGTAGAGAGAGGGAAACACGCGGCAAATTGTGTCACGCCGATATATTCAGTCTATTAACTATAGAAAATTATATTAATTCACTATTTTATTAAATTTTGACAATGCAGAGGAAAAAACTATACATATTATAGAAGTAAACATGTTTTTTTTATGCGAGAGTTATATTTTGTGGAATTTATATCATTTGCTGCTTTGTTTTATATATATGAGCATCTGAAACTCCCAGCAAGTGCTTTTCACGATTTTAATAAGGAGTAGATAGGGGAAAAAACAAATTTTTGCAAAATAAAATGTTATGTTAACACTTTTAATAAAAGGAAATCAATAAAAGTGATCGCTTACCGTTATTCTACAATAATTTATTGAACAAAATTTCCATGGGTATCTCATTTTAAAAACAAAAAAGCGATTTTCACCTTTCGAACTGCGTTTTCCCTATCTTTTGCTATGAAATTTCAGCGACGGCACTGGCTGGAAGATTTGACACAAAAACGGGTTATCGAGGTGTCTGTTTCCACTCTGTAGATCTCTTCTCTGTCACAGAATAAAGACATACAGAAGTGTATCTTCTTATTAAAAGTGCGTAAGGGATTTTTTCAGTCCGCCATGTTCTTAGCAAGTGCCCTAAAGAGAGGCAGTCACCCCCCTGAAAACATATTGAAAATTTAATATTCCAGGGAGGTGAATGCCTCTCTTTAGGGCACTTGCTAAGAACATGGCCGCCAGCTATTTCGGTAAAAAAGCGCCTTATGGTTTTGTAATGGAAGTTACACTTCTGTATGTCTTTATTCTGTGTCTGTGGTGCTATTGGGGTTGCATCAGCGGCTGGTGTCGTGTGCAGACGTGGAACTCTGTGTTCCGTATTAAAAACAAAATTAGACGCTTTTATTGCAAATTTTGCTGTGGTTTCTGTGAAAACTGCTGGATAAAGTGTGTTTGAATAGCACATGAAAAAATACGAGAATTGACGGGAATTCAAATAGTATTTTTACATTGAAAAGATCTAGGTGAGCTGTTATATTTTAAAAAATTATAACGGGAAGCGCACGCTAACGGACAGTTTATTCTCGCGCGAGCATATACAGTACGTCATCGCACATGCCATGCATAACAGTTGTTCAATTAGAACAAATTGAAGCTAATTTGGAACTAATTAGAACTAATTGGAACTAAAATTCGGATAATCAGAGCAAAAACACGTCTAAATAGGCAAAATTCTATGGCTGTGTGGCTTGTTTTTATTGTTTTAACGTGTTGGCTATCGACAACTGAGATTATTCAACGAAAATCAACATCTATTTCCCAGGTTCAGAACTTCCACTCAGGTCTTACTAGTGAAGTCAATCTATTCACCAAGTACAATGTTGGTCTATTCAAAACCAGGCGACGAATGAAATTTCAAACTTCGAGATTTCGATACTGCGCGAACAATGATGCCTCGTTTAATGTAGAAAAGTACATCATACGTTTAATGTACATCATTTGAACACATTTGTGCATTTTGCCAAGGAATCAAAATAGTAATGTGTCCGCTTCTCATGTACTTGCTGCCTTCGCTGCAAGCGCAAACGTAAAAGAGAGATCGCGAAGAACTGTCGAATTATTGTATTGTACTTCCAAAGAGATAACAGAAATATTTCAATTAAATTAACATTATTTCCTCACCCTGATAACTGCTGATTGACCACTATGCGTCTGCTGCACGACAGTGCTTTGCGAAACCTACCTATACTGCCCCTTCTCCACATGCCTGTGTTAACACCATTACCCCGTTACCACAACTACATTTTTATGGCCCTAAATTCTTGACCGTTATGTACATACATCAGTCATGTTGGATGCAATACAATTAGTGAAACCGATGTAATGATAGACTATATCTGCACAAACATACATATATCGATCCTATTGTCCTATCTACATTATGTTGGGTGAAATTCAGTGGAATGACACACACATAGACCAAGTCTACACATGCATGGGGGCCAACATACATATCTATCCTCACCTGATCCCTGGCATCCACGTCTGCTGCATGTTCCAACAAACACCTCACGACATCAACACGTGCATGAATAGCTGCCCAATGAAGAGGCGTTCTTCCCCCCTACAAAAAAATTTTACAACTATGAAAAGCCTTGATAGGCTTCGTTTCAACTGCAAATGGTTTGATTTAGAAACTATTAATAACACACCAATGTGGTCAATGTACCCTATATTGGTTAAGTGTAATGGGGCAGCAGATGGTGTTCAGCTTCAAAAAAGTTAACATTTATATATTGGAGCATGAACTATTTAACTAGTGGTAAATTTCCCAATTATATTCAATTGAATTAACATTATTTTTTCACTGTAATTGACCATCATGCATCTGCTGCACGACAGTGCTTAGTGAAACCTACATATACTGCCCATTTATAACCACCCCCCTCCCCCCAAAAAAACTATTCGTCTCCACTGCTGTTCATGTACTTGCAGCCATTGACGCAACTCTTGAACGAAAGAGAGATCGCGAAGAACTCTCTAGTCGGTCATGTCGTACTTTCAAAAAGACAACAGTAATATTTAACTGCTCAGTGACACCATGGATTGTACAAGAACTTGTATTCCTATATTACACTATTATTATACTTGTATTCCCTTATTGTTCTTTTACAATCCATGGTGACACTCCAAATTTCAAGAAGTCAGTTATGCTGGTCATAGGCATTATAGGTGAGTTATGAAAATAAACTAGTCAAACTACACTCAACATAACTAAAACCTTCTACAATTAACTAAAAACTAAAACCTTCTACCCAAAATCCAGATTTGTATACATTCACCTTACACTGCAGTAGCATCATATTTGTATACATTTATACACATGAACTTGCAGTTAGGGCTCGACAGCTGGCCTCGACAAATCGCAGGGCCGCAGGTTTGATTCCTGCCAGAGAGCCTATAGTTGCATTTTGTTAGGTCTAATAAATGTATAAAATTCAGACTCAAAATTTCCATCTACAAAACCCTTCCACAATTTATTTTAACAACAATTTTGTAGTAGCAAGTACGTAAAAATATGTCAATTTCCACCCTAAATACTCGTAACTTCAACGTTTTGCAAATTTTCTACCAATGATTTGATTTAGAAACAATAACACACGAATGTAGTCAATGCATCCCATATTGGTGAATTTCAGTAAGTGCAATGGCGCAGCAGATAGTGTTCATCTAAGGAACCACAAACAAATAAAGGAGCAAGAAAATTCAACAAGAGGTAAATCTCTAAATTTTATTTGAATTAAAGTTATTTCCTCACTCTCATAACTGCTAATTAACCACAATTTGCTGCACAACAGTGCTTAGTGAAACCTAGCAAAGTAGAGTTCAATGGCATTATGAATCAATTCAAAACTTCAGCTAGCAAATATAGTGTGTGAACTGTTCCTGATCTTAAAGTAGTATATATTATATATTATTTGCTAAATTTACATATGGCAACAAAAAGGTAGAAATATATATTGGCAACCTCATTCTCATCCCCAATACACAGTTTTGGTTGTGTTAGTCTGGTCTCTTCAGGCATAACTTCTTATCATTTTGCAATTGCGTGCATGAAGTTAATATGACACATGCACGTAAGTATCTCATACACCTATATATGGCCACGCCTGTGTTAATACCATCACCCCGTCACCACGAGTAAATTTTTAATGTGGTTAAATACATTTAAGCAAGGTTAACGGCCGAAGTATTGTGCAGGCTACATCCGCTGGGGAAAGTCCGTGACGTCATACCGATCAAAGGGGTTATTTCGCGCCTTGTGATCAGTGCTTTGGTCTGGGTATTCATTCTGCCATTGTATGCTTTGCCTAGTTGCAGCAAGTTTAGCGCCTCGATACCTTTTCCCCCACCCACCCACCCACCCACCCAAAAAAAACCCCACCCAGCCACCCACCCACCCACCCACAACTAATACTCTACCGTTAATGGCCCTAAATTCTTGACCGTATTAATAGGGTTCCATTATGTACATACATCAGTCACGCCAGGTGCAATACACCTGACACAGATGTAATGATCTACTACATCTGGATAAACGTACATATATCTATCCTATTGTCCTATCTACATTATGTCAGGTGAAATTTAGTAGGATGACACACAACAGAGCAAGTCTATATATGGGGCCAACATACATATCTATCCTCACCTCATCCTTGGCATTCACATCTGCACCTTTTTGTAACAAAGATTCCACGACGGAATGATATCCTTGCTTAGCTGCCCAATGAAGGGCCGTTTGACCGTTCTAAAACAAAATTTGCAACTATGAAAGTCTTGATAGCCTTTTTTAACTGCAATTTTACAGTAACAAGCAGGTACTAAGAATGTGTTAAATGGCGCCCTTAATACTCGTACCTTCAATATTTTGCAATTTTTTTTGCAGATGCTGTTCAACTTCAGACAGGTTAACATTTATATATTGGAGCAAGAAAGGTGGTAATCTCGCAATCATTCAATTGAATTAAAATTATTTCC